TCATTCCACAAATGGGTGAGGAGTTTTGATAGTCTTTTTCCTTTCAGGTAACATACAGTACAGTTATTAACTCCTGGGGCTGTTTCTCCTCAAGATCTCAAGATCTCAATAAAATATTGACTCTCTTCATAGATCTCAGGTGTGGTCAGGTTCAAAGGGTCCTGAATTGCACAAATGATAATACTGTATGTTGTACTGTAGTTTTTTCTAGGAGAATATGCTGGAAAGTGTGCCATTGTATTCTGCTAAGGTCTCATATGTCAACTTTCAACATCTAATTGTAAAGTCACTTGAAGGTTACTGGCTATCATGGGTCAAAGGTATTCTCCTTGTCTATTTTTCTGTTGCTTTTCAGGCTCATCTCATCATTCTGTGAGCTTACATACTGGTGTGGATAATTCCCTTTGATTCCTTTCCCAGTGTCTCATTCTAACAATAATTTCTCCTCTGGTTCTTCGAGGTGCTTACTGCTCTTGTACAGTATAACTCCAGAACCATTTCTCAAGTGCTTTGCCATGTACAGCATTTGAATTTCTAAATCAAAATTATAGTATACAGTACATCAGGCTCAAAACCCTCTGTCCCTTGTTGATCCATATTATAAATATTCTGAACAAGAATCCCACTGTGTTTTAATGTCAACTTTGGTAAAAATTCTGAAGATATCAAGCTGGACACATTTTTTTCATTCCTAACCTCAGTTGTACCAAAGTCTGTATCAGAATAATCTAACAATTGCACAAAACTTGATTTCTAGTAAAATTCAATGAAACAGAGAACAACAAAGCTGATGTATAGAGTATTTGATTTCCTTTTTTATTTTTATCCTGCTCTCATGTCCATTATTTACAAGAGAAAGAGTGGTTCAGCCTCATGATTTGTACAATATTGTACTAGGACACAGATTCGATCTACTCTTGAGAAACACATAACGGCAGGGATGTACAGTACCTTAAGTGTTTGAACAAATATGTGTTATCAGCTGCTGATCTCTGCTGAGCTGAGACGAAAGATAAATAAAAACCCCAAAAGATGAAGGAAGCGTTAAAGACACATCAATTATCCTTACATAAAGCTTTGAACCCACTTTGTCAGTCCCTTGATGGTTTCCTCAAACCCCATTATCCTATTCTTTCTGGATCATTCCAAAGAGTGCTTTGAAACAAGCCATCATCGTTATAAATCATCCATTAAAGTATTCCATAAAATGTCATCTTTTCTCTCTATTTATCAGGAACATAATGGTAACATAAGACTTGTAACAGCAATAAAAAATAAATACGAAGAAACAAAAGAGAAACCCTCACTTTCTGTCACATTGAAACATGTGTATTAGAATTACTAGAGTACAATGCTGTACATTTAATTCACCAATAGAGCAGATGCATGCCTCCCCTGGGACTAAGGACAGAGCTTCACAGCACTCTGTTTTATGTTTGGAGAGGATTATGAGCGGACTTACTGGACTAAAACAGCAATGTGGTCTTACTATTAAAACATCAAAGTGCACTTCTAGACAGCTGCCTTAATGGAAATATAGTGGCAGACCAGTACCGGAACAACAAACTTTATCTCCATTTACTGAAAACGCTGGCTCCTTAAGAGGTTAACATGTACAGTATGTGTTATAATATGGAAAATACATGACTGCATTGGGCATTACTGTTTTTGGTCAACTGCAGGTCACAAATGCTTAAAAGCCTCTCAGGTAATGTTGACTTGTATATGAGAAAACGGACGAATAATAGGAAACAAATATTATTTTTGCTTGGAGCAGTTGAGTTTGAAGAATCCAGGACAGAGGAATCCTCAGATGCATTATTTACTTTGTCCACAGCAAACCTCATTGAAACCAGAAACCCCTGAGAATGAAAACATTGGGAAAAACATTGGGCTGCAGTCATGAAATTTGAGGTACATTTTATGAACTTTCAGATATTAAAAAATACCCTTTTTTCTGTTTGTTCGTCTTATTAAGGGCAAAATTCACTAATCCTCTTCTCTGGAGTGTTGCCAGAAATATTGTTTTTACAAGAAGTGAAAAAAACAGATACAGTAGCACATAGGAATATGGATTAGTGTAATCCCTGAGATTCTGTATTTCTTGTGCTGTACTCACTGTAGTCTGTAAATGACTAGGGGCTAGCAGGTCACAGGATTTTTATTGTCTTGGCCAGTGAGTTGACCTTTTGCTTTTTAGGATTAGGTCTCTCACTTACAAAGCTGTTTATTGCGGGGGTTTGTCTGAACTAGATTTCTGATCGTGGAAGCAGAAGATGCCTGTCTTTCATTCTCTTTATATTGTTTTTTTGGGACCTTAAAACAGACACTTCTCAGATTTGTGACGTTTATCTGCAATTTGTTTCTGTCCTATTTGAGTCATATCATGTAAATCTAATTGAATGCCAGCATGACAAAATGAACCCCATACATGCTTCATCAGTGCTGAACATGGTTTCATTTTAGTAGCGAATGCAAAAACATATTATATTATATAAGAGTATTATATAAGATCAATGGCATTGTATTGTTGTTATACTGTGTATGTTCTTTCGCATTTATTCTGAGAATTAGTTTAGTCTTAATATTAAATAGTTTTTTTCAGGATTGAAACGTGAGAGGGATATTAAATATTATATCAGTTTTGTCTTTTGTTGTCCTCTAATGTTTTAACTGTGGTGACTGTTGTGCTCCTTCGGATATTTATGTGCTTTTACTAGATATCTCTGCATGTTTAACCAATAAAGGTGACTGCAAATAAAAAATATCAGATTCAATTATAGTTTTGGATAATCATACTCTCACTTAAACCTTAATAGTGTTAGCACAATACTGACTGTAGCCCTGGTAATCTGAATATTTTTTGCACTTATTCATTTCCATACATTTATCCCTCCCTTAGCTCAATGTATTTTCTGAAATTATCCCGTCACAGGATTAGCATGGCTTTTGACAATAAAAACAGCAATCTCAAAGTTAAAAGTCTTCGCCTCTGATTCTATTGCATCATTTTGTAATGGTTTAATCTCTGAATAAAACAGATGAGATCTGGACTCCCTTCCAAAAAGAAACGAGTTGGCTTTTTTTATTCATAGATTATTAGAAGGCATGGTAATTCATGCTTCTTTATTACAATCTTCCATCATTCTGGTTTCCTAATTAAAGAATTGAACTGATCAGCTTTCAATTGTTACTGTAGTGAAAGATTAAAGTAGCATTACTGGTTTCACATATTTCACACTTTTCCAGATTTTAATAAACTGAATCCATGAAAAATGAATCCATTATACCTCTTAATGCGCCTATGCTAATGATATTTCAATTGATTCTAATACAAAAGTGTTGGCATTAAGTACTATATGTCAAGAGCAAGCATTGCATATAATCATCCATGTAATAAATGAAGACCTACATAAAGAAATGTCTTAGAGATTAAGTCATCTATCAGCATCTCTGCAAAGTAATTGCACACAGGCCATAGTACATGAGTTATTTCTGTTCAGAGTTCATTTGCAACCAGCTGACAATCACAATACAAAGGGGCATTTGGTACAAAGGGTCTTTGTCTTTGGATTTCTAATTTCTTGACAAAAATCAGATACATTTTCTTCTACAGACGTCATTTCTATTGGTTGCCGAAACAGCATTCTCTCATTTGTGGCTTTTCTAAAGAATTGAGAAGTACCCCCAAGATACATTAGAATGACCCTTGCTGTCAAGAGTGAGAGCATACCTTCCATACCATAAAAACATTAACAGCAGTTCATTTATAACAAGGAGCACTGAGCTGATTACTGTAGCACCATGCCACACATATTTTAATATTTTAAAATATATACACTGTATATATTATTTTACATATTCCATATGAGCCTATTGAAACATTTATGTGCTGGCTTCAATAAACTCAGTCAAGTGAATCCTTCATCACTGTACTGAGAGGCCCATCTCTTCTGAAATGCATACTTGCTGCTTACTGCTCCCATGCCCTATGCAGTCAGTGGGCCTGATCTTCCCGTTTTGTAAACCGTGGGCAGACCGTTTCACTTATTGTGGACAAGTGCCCACAGACAAAATCACATTTGGTGTCTTTGTGTGCCTAAATGCAGCAGATCAAGGGAGTTTGAATTTGTTCCATACTATTTCTGTATTGCTAAAAAAGAATTTAGAAGATCTGTGGTTCTGTAAATATTAGACTGCAGGTTTGATCCCTAGGTAAGTCATTGCTTTAATACCGCAGCCTGACGTTGCTTTCGAGTCACGGCCGTACGTCATAATTAACCCACAAGGTGGCAATGCAGGCATCCGTCTTCTTCAATGCAGTTGATCGATTCTACAGTTTCTGTAAAATATCGATACTGCAGTAGTACTGTATATTTCCCTCATGTGTCCATAAAAATAAATTAGATTTTTTTAAATCTAAAATCTCGTCTTATGAAATGAAAAGAAGACTTCTCTCTTGTTATTCTTATTGTTACTTTATGATTACATTGAGGAGTATGACATTTTGTTCACAACAAATATATTTAAATATTTATCCATCCATATTTTAATCACTTCATCCAACTCACGGTCGCAGGAACGACCTGGTTGGTAAAGAATCTGTATGGGCGCAAGGCAGGGTACACCCTGGACAGGACACTCGTCCTTCGCAGGGCAGATAGAGAAAAACAGAGACGCAAACACACCAGGACCAGTTTTCCCAGGACCCAATTAACATACCAGTATGTTTTTAGACTATGGGACGACATCAGAGCATCTGATGTAAATCAATGCAAGCACAGGGGACAACATAAAAACGCCATGCAGATAGCATCATAGTTCCAGAAATGAATTCAGACCCCAGCGCTGCGGGTCAACAGTGCCGCCAACAATACTTCAATATGAATTTCCCGATTTTATTTCACCCTTTTAAGTCTTCCTTGCATACCAAATTTGCAGTGCTTTGCAATTATTGCTGCACCCAGGTACAGCAAATTGTCAATTTCCAACTTGCCCCGCAGAGGGAGACAGTGGGTTTGTTCACAGGCTTCTGTGTACTCACAGGCGTACAGAGAAGAAGCGCTTTTGGATTTAAAGCACAATGATATTCAACTAAAGGAACAGTACTTCAATTTAGAAACATGTTTGTTAATATAACTGGGTAAATAATCCATGCAAAGGTGTAATTTTTATTTAGCCTTGCACAGTTGCCGTGTTTTAACGAGAAATAGAATGTGACGTGGCTTCATGCGCGTCCGCGGCGCGGCGAAATCTGCTCCTTGAGTCCGGGTCCAAATGAGAGGGGAGCGGTCTAGTTGTGTAATACATTCCCAGGCTAGAGGCCTGAAAGTTTACAAGTAGGCGAGCTGACAGAAAATTCGCGTATGTTAAAGAGATAATCACGAAAACGATTTTAAAAAGCTATTTTTAAAAAGCAGTTCCAGTAGCAAACGACAGTTACTTCGTTAAAATGATATCTAGATTTTAATAACGTGCGGTCATAACCTCCTAATCTGGGTATTATGAAATTAAGTACATACCTGAAGTTTTATTTTGATCTTATACTGTAGTTAATCGTATTTCCAATAATTCCTACATCATGGATGAAAAATACAGCAGTAATGTGATTTCCAGTGGAAAGCTGGGTCCGGTAGAGGCGCAGAGTGCTGGGTAAGGATACAGTTTTTACTGTATTTTCTAACTACGTCAATATTAAACAGGTTTTGTTTGTTGGAACAACTTTCGTTATAGCTGTATTGTTTGAAAATGGAAACGTTAATACCTTGGATAGATGTATTTGTACATAATGACAATCTTGGCACTTCACGCTAGCCATTGTGGTTATTAAACTTGGTTTAATACAGTGTAGTTTATATCTATTCCTGTCCCACGGAGAGGGGGTAATAAACCTCAATATATATTGTTCTTTATTTAAATGTAGATCTTGTGTAAAAAAAACTTATGTAATATATTTGAGTGTATTCTGTAGTGTGATTTTTTTGGGGGTAAAGGTTTAAAGGATAAATAAGAAATGCTTAAAATCGGTAGAAGAATATTGTCCTTTCCAGGTTCACCAGGTACATCGTGTTGCTGTGCGTCACCAAACTATTGAAGGCTCTTGGAATTTTTGAGTCATATGACCTGTTAAAAGTTGTCCACATCGTGCAGTTCATTTTCATACTTAAACTGGGGTAAGTCTTATTTTCTACAGTATCACTTCTTTATTAAAATGTAGTGCCGGTCGTTATTCATGTAAAATGTTGTCTTCATCACATTACTACACAGAGACTGCTAAACTGTATAAATGGGTAAAAAAAAGTTGCTTTTTATAATGCATTCAACCAGTCCTGTCTTTGTACAATATGTGACCTGTGAAAAACTGATACCTTTTGGACATTTCTGTAATATCGCTGATGAAAAAGGGTCCTATGTGACTTCACTTACACTGGGCACCTTGTTGGTCACAGCATGGATAAGAGATCTGTGTCAAGTTGAATAAAATAGTGTGCTCTCAATAAGGTGCCAAAGCAGTACTATGTTTATGACTAAAATATTAATTTGGGCTAATAGTGGAGAACTGCTCAGTCATTCAGATGTGAGCTCGGGGTCGTACGGCTCTTTGACTGTGACTGGGTCGGCCAGGGTGGTCTCAGGGTCATTGGTCAGGGTTCTCTCAATTTGACAGCTCAACGGGCATCTGCAGTTTCAGAGTGACATTAGTGATAGATGCCCCTCTCCTGACAAGTACTGCACCAAGAGTGCGCCGAAAGCCAAATCGCTCCAAGGGTTGATGGGTCGGAGGAGAGCCGCTGCCCACTTCTCATTCTCCCTGTGCAGTATGGGAGCTGCTGCTGACCCAAAACATGCAGAGCCAATTGACGATTCTGAGTTGGCTTTGTATAAAATGAGCAAAATGATTTCTTAAACATGATCATGTTTTCAGGGTGGGACCTTTTCACATCTTATAAGGGCCTTGCAAAAGTACCAAACCCTTGCTCACTTTTCTGTTGTTGTTTTTTTTTTTGGCAAAAATATTTGTTGCTTATACAACCTTCTTCACACATTCTGAGCTAAAAACAAAAAAAAAAGATAATTTATCTGAAGGAAAGAATTACGATTGACTCTTCTCCTTGCTGGGCCAGAAATCCATAGCTACAGTATGTGAGAATAGCTTGCGAATAAGAATCTCTTTCAAAGTCGTGATTTGAAATCCTCCTGAGAACCCGTGGACACTGCTGTCCATAAGTGATGTCCAAGCAATTTGAGAGGGCTTGAGCTAATCTACAAGGAAAATTGGGAGAATTTAGAAGATTTTACCAAACCACAAGAGTCCCGTGAAACTTAGCAGCTGTAATTACTTCCAAAAATGGAGTCCACGTGTCTGAATGCTTATGTAATCAATATACAGTCTACTCATGAGTTACATGAGGGTTAGGGATTTTGAGAAGACCATAAAGCCAAATTTGCGCTGTCAAATTTTACCCTATAGCCCTATAACCCCCCCCCAGTAACCTCTCACGGTAGTACAAGATATTAAATATAAGAACTTTAAAAATAAATAACATTACTGCATAAGCCTTCTAACTGGCTATCGTAGGTGTGCTCGCCAAACATTTCAGAGAGTAAAGCGTTTTTTTTATATTCTATGTAAAGCTGCGACCACTTAACAGTGCATAAGCTGCAAGTTGAGTGCATTTCCTTTTTTGCTTTAGTTTTCGTTGACATGTATTGAAACTTATCTTACCGTTAGAAGTGTCCAGTTTAAGTATCCAAGTTTTAAATAAAATATCACTAAATATTAAAAACTATATATGCATCATTTCAAACAAAGGGGAAAGGTAGGGGGTGGCACAGTGGTTAGTTAGCATTGCTGCCTTGCAGTGCTGGGGCTCCAGCTTCCCCCATGACCCTGTACTGGGTTAAGTGGTAAGAAAATAGATGGATGGGACACCATAGGATGGGTCTGAATACTTTTGTCATCATACATTCTGTGCTGTTCATAAAATCACATGGCGTGGCATTTGACAAATCAGTAGAGATAGAAATTTCATAGTGAGTGATCAGTGACATTAAGATTGTAAAAAAGTTTGGTTTAATTAAACTGTAGGATAGGACAGTTTGAATGTTAAACAAATGTATCCAATAACTTTTGCACTTTTGATGTTGGCACCGCAGTTGAGTAAATAGTTAAGTAATGTAATTATATAATGAACAATATTAATTGTAGTTGTCGTGTAAATGAAACTCAATATTATTTTTAGTAAGAAAAATGAATATCTGACAGACCATTTATCTTTTATGCAGAACTTTTCGGGAAAATATCATTTCAAAATTCGGCTGTTAGCCTCTCCAAAAGGTGCTGAATGTAGATTTCTCTGGTCATAGGCATCAGATGGGCAGAGGGTGGGGAAGGAGTTTAAGATAATCTAATCAGTCCCAGAAATCAGGCAGCTTCATTCATTCAGATGTGTTGTTGCTATTATTGTTGTATTTTTAATAGGGACAATGTAGAACACCTGTGATACATCTCAGACTGGCTGGCACTCAGATTTTATTTGTTAGACTATACTGTAGACCCCAGCCCTAAACAGCATGTTTTTGAGAGCTGGGAAGAAACTGAGGCACCCAGAGAAAATGCATTCTTCATGCATAGAGCCACCCTTAGCTAATACTAAACCCATGGCAGCTTAGCTGTGAGGCAACAGTGCTCACCATGCCCGGGTAGGCTGGCAATTTGTATCAGCTAAGTTATATTCTGAATGTGTAAGTCTGCTTCTTAAATCTTATCATGAAACATGTTTGTTTATTTCCCCAGATCTGCTTTTGTATTGGTTTTCTTTCAGAGACCATTTTCATCTGGAAAAGCCATATCAAGACGACAGGTTAAGTATTACACATTCACATTTATTTAGTATAGTAATTAAAAATGTAAGTTGCATGAGAAGGAATATTTTATGTATAAAATGAAATGCTCAGAGGAGCATTGTATCACTTTATGTTCCCAGCTATTGTACATTTTGAAGTAACAGTAAAAACCGTAACACATAAAACAAGCATATCACTGTGAAGACATCAGTTAAAGACATTTTAATTTTCCACAATATCAGGGAAAGGAGGTAAATCTGTGGTGTGGGATTACTGTAAATGTTTCATTATCACTGTTGAGATAGTTTGGGTTTAAATCTCCATTCATTTAAAGGTTCCATAATTTTAGCAGGTGTTGGGCGATCCTTATTATGCTGTTGTCTTGAACATCATCACTGATATTCTATGGAGAAAAACTATTTTTAGTGTATTTAGTTATAGAAGATGACTAGGAACAGACATGATTATGTGTATGATTTTAAAAACCATGTAAAGCTGGTGTTTCAATATCAAACCAAGATTGACAAAGAAATTGGATTTGTAAAAATTGAGACATTACATTTCTCTTTCAAATACCTGTGTTGTTTCTTGATGTATTTGTGCCCTTAGACACTTATTTCACATTTTGTTCTGGAGCACAATACATGGAAAGTAATCGCACAATACATTTTTTTATTCTCCTCTTTTGAGGCCTGCTAATGAATTTCATGAGTTTCATGCTTACAGTATTGCCATATATATATATACGTAGAAGCATATAAAAATAAGGTGTTTTTAACTGTTGTGTTTTTGTATCATACATGTGTATAGTCTGCAAAACATTTCTGGGACACATATCAAGGACATTAACATGTTTAAATTGGTTTGTATTTCAACAATCTGCACAATCAGCCATATAACTGCCTATAGTTAAATTGTATTAAAAATGCCTGTGGCAGTTTTTTGGAAGACTCCGTCATGTGTACGTTTTTTGTAACTTCTAGTTTTTGTTTTTTTATTTCCTTTTTTTGGAAAATACATTTTTGTTCGCAGCATCAAGTTACCAATTTAAAAATGCTTTTATAGATTTAAAAAAACTGCAACAAATTCTAAAAAGGTTTAGGTGTACATGTTGCAGTTTAATACATAACTGAATAATGCTCACACTGCAGCAGTGGTCTTTTGTGCTTTTTAATGTACATTTAAATTTGGAAGATGCATGTTGGGTAGTTAAATATGCCGAGGAGGAGAGCATGCTCTGTCTCTAAGGTTCAACCTGAATATTAGGCTGTTTTATATTTACATGGAGAAGACTATTGGTGTTATTTTTCAATTCACCACTTTTTCATGTGATAGATGTGTTTCAGTGCTTGTAGTTTGATATGTTTCCTTCCTTTCTATTCAGTTCCGTGTTTCTAGATTAAATTCTGTCCTTTGTGACAGATGCTTCCCCAAATGTTGTAAATTATACATTCTGTTGTGCTGAATCATGTATTTTCTTTTCTATCCTTTTCAGTGGATGAAGATCCTAAAACATGCAGTCTTCAGCTGTATTATTTCACTTCTGGGTTATTTTGGTCTTACGCTGTGTGGGCCTTTACGGTAAGATGGATTAAAGTTTAGCAAGAATATTATTATTATTATTATTATTATTATTAATAATAATAATATGATTACCTAATCATTTTCTAGAGTTTTTTATAGAGTATAGTTTAATGGTGGCAGTTATTATAATAATAATAATTGCTTACACTTATATACTGTAGCACTTTTCTGGACATGCCACTCAAAGCGTATTGCATGTAACAGGGACTCTCCTCCACCACCCATGTGCAGCCCCACCTGGAGAATGTAAAGGCAGCTATAGTACACCAGAACGCTCAACACACATCAGCTATTAGTGGGGAGGAGAACAGAGTGATGAAGCCAATTCATAGATGGTGATTATTAGGAGGCCATGATTGGTAAGGGCCAAGGGGAAATTTGGCCAGGATGCCCGGGTTACACCCCTACTCTTTTCGAGAAACACCCTGGGATTTTTAATGACCACAAAGAGTCAGGACCTCGGTGTGTCTCATCTGAAGGACAGCACCTTTTATAGTAGAGTGTCCTCATCACTATACTGGGGCATTGTAACACACATAGACTGCATGGTGAGCGCCCCCTGCTGGCCACACTAACACCTCTTCCAGCAGTTTTTCGCAGGTCTCCTATCCAGGTACCTGACTAAGCCAAATTTAGCTTCAGTGGGTTGCCAGATGTGAGTTGCAGGGTGACATGGCTGTTGGCTATTAGTACATCTTTGGACTGTGGAAGGAAACCAGAGCACCGGAGGAAAACCACGCAAACACGAGGAGAACATACAAACTTCATGCCAATTGTTAACCTTTTCTTATTCCAAAATTGTCTAGTTGCCATTTCATAATACCAATTTAATATTTACATAACAATAAAGTGTTATAACTAAATTAAACATAAATGAAATCGTATGCCTGAATATATTCACTAATATTTTCCAATTTGTAGCTATCTACACAAAAATGTTTAGAATGTCCTTTCCTTTTACTTTATGATATTAGCTTGTATTCTGTCAAAAATAATGGATGCAAATGACAAATCTCCCAAAATAAAGCTTAAACTGTAAATAACCCATAAAGTAAAATGTAAAACTAATTTACAAAACGTAAGTCGTAGATGATCACTTAGATTACTTACTGCTTTTTGTGGGCTTCTGGTTTCTTAATCTCTCTAATCTGACCTAGTTTCTTGCCAAAGACTAGGGAGTTATTATGTTTCAGAAAAAAATCCCTAGTTAATCCCACCCTACCACCAGCAGCACTTGGATAATTGTGCGTCACCCCATGGAATATTGCTATTGCAGTTGTCTGCTATTCTAACACAGTTTCATACCTGCAACTTCTGGATCATAGAGGCCCACCAGAGCAAAGAGAGCACCTTTGCTCGTTGTGCTACACTTGTTCTCTTCCCCTACGGGGCTCCCAGCTCGAAATTGACTTTGTAAATCATCCATCATTTCCATAACTTCATTGTTATTTCTCCCATCAACTTGACTTGATGTCCCTTGGCAAAGATCCACGTGAAAACTTTTGACACCATTTATTTGTTTAGATAAGTACCATAATAAAAGGTAACAAGTGCCTTTGTAATACTTTTTGTCAGGTGGGAAAATGTAAATGTAATGTGCTTGACATTTCATTTTTATTCTTGTAAAAGAACGTGTACATTTTTATCTTCAGGATTAAAAAGTCGTAAGTAATTAACCTATATTTTGCAAACACAGTAGTGCATATGTGAAGATATGTCCATGCTGTAACACTCACAAGACCTTGGTGTTCAAATATACCTATCTGGAAAAAAAGTTAGAAAAGCTATTTCATTTCAATGGACCTAGAAACAGATTTCTCATTCCTTGGAACAGCAGTGTACAGATATGTTTAAACAGGTAAAACTGAAAAAATAGTCAATGTTCACCTTGCTTGAAAGTTTTTCTCTTTCTTGTTTAGGACACTTTTGCTTTTTGAACACAGTGATGTTGTGGTCCTCTCACTTCTCAGTGTGCTCTTCACCAGTTCTGGTGGTGGACCATCTAAGGTACTGTATGTGGATTGTTTTGTATTTGAAGCAGGCTGTAGAGTTAGGAACTATAATTTAAAAAAAATATTGTTGAACATAGTCCAAAACTACATTTGTACTGAGGAGCTATATAAATATGTTGGCTGCAGGGAGACTTGTAAATTACTGGAATTTAAACTACGTTGTAACTTAAAATTAGATCTAGCTTTTTTAATACCTCTTAGAATGTATTGCCAAAGCAAAAGTTGAATTAATGGATATGTACAAATGGAGGATATTGTAAGCCGTTTTTATTTGCTTATTCAGTCTAATGATATTTACTTTCAGAAATATACAGGATGTTTTACATCCTAAACTAGCATAACTCAAAATAATATTTCCTCTTTGAAATAAACAGTTGAAACCCTTTGATGTCAAATTGTAAATGCAAAAAGCCTAACTGAAATGTCCAAATTGAAAACAATGTTTTTTTTGTTTAAGTTTTATTTGACATATTTTCTCCCATCAGACTAGAGGTGCTGCCTTTTTCATCATTGCTGTGATTTGCCTGCTGCTTTTTGATAATGATGACCTCATGGCAAAGATGGCAGAGCATCGTATCCTTTAAACAAAACGTTTAATCAGATGGTGTATATTGTAGTGTGCCACAAAATGTCTGGACACCCACATATGTACAGTATGTACCAAATTAAATTAATTAAAGTGGTAATTGTAGATATTCTAACATGTATATCAACTATAATATAAATTGTAATTTAAGGAATGTACAAGGTATAAGTAGCTTCAGAAAATAATAGCAAGTGTTCAGATGAAAGACCTTTAATGATACTTATATATTACATTTAGACTAAAGAGCTATGTAAATATGTAATACGTAAGTGTGGTGCCACCATTACCAGTCTTCAGGAAATTAGCATTTTCAGTGTCGATCTGGTGATAATTTTGGTTTAATACATGTAGCTTTTTCAGACTATTTCAGAAAATGCTATTTCAGTAGTTGAAACACATGTATTTATAAGAAGTGTGTACATGGATGTGGGTTTTCTCTTGTAAATCTGAAATCCTTAACATTGATGATTACAGCCGAAGGGCACCATGACAGTGCTCTCACCCACGCCCTTTACACAGCTATTTCATTCCTTGGGGTGGCAGATCACAAGGTATGTAATTCTTTTCCTGATGAGACAGGGATTGTAAATGTTGTTTGGAAGGAGAGTCAAGAGAACAAAAAAATACATTTTATAGAATATTAATATGCTGACAGCCAATCATAGCAATGCAGAAGACAACTCCCATATACCTTCTTATATCATCTTTTTGCACACTGTACAAAAAGTGAAAGAGAAGCTGTGAAACAGTTCTGTCTCCCCTATTGTTGTAATTAAAGGAGAGCTAGTTAATATGCATACCCATAAAACATTACCCTTAAAACGTATGGACTTAACACACATCCTAAGTGTTGAAGTGTGTTTTAAGATATAAAATCACAATTCATATGACTTTTTCTGTATTTGTAAGAATGCTTGGCCCAATTAGGAGAATTGTCCTCAGTTTATAAGCCTTAAAATAATAGTTTGCAAATTGTTTTCAGTATAATTCAAAATGTTTGGGGCTGTTAAGAATGACTTAGTGTTAATTTGTGCACAGGCAAGGAAGTACTGAAATATATCTTTGTTCTTTTTTTCAGGGTGGAGTGATGTTGCTAGTGATCTCCCTCTGTTTCAAGGTTGGATTCCACACTGTCTCCAGAAAGCTGTCGGTTGAAATTGGGGGAGCCAAGCGGCTATATGCTCTGTCTAATCTGGTGTCAGCTGCAGTGCTGCTACCTTGGGTGATAGTTTTGTCAGCCACCACAGACGTGAGTTAACACACAGGCCAGTAATTCTGAAAGGAAGAACGTAATTGTTTTTTCTCCTGAAAAATCAACAATATCTTTTTAGTTTGTACTGCTACACTATTCTGAAAGCTTCAGTTTTTCATATATAAAAAATGAATTCGGTGTTTATGTTCAGTATGAGCCACTGTGTGCATATTGAATATATATTGTGTGAGTATCTTGGTACAGTATGTTTATAAGGGCAGACATTTATTTCTTCGCATTTAAAAACTTTTTAACCAGAGGGATTCATGACTTAAGGTTTTTTAGTACAATTGAATCCACAATTAAGAAACCTCTTAAAAGTCAGTGATGAGAACATTATTGGTAGATTTGTAAGGTTTGATGTTTTTCTGCTGACGGTGAAGATATATTGAATTCAACCTGATCTGCCATACTTTGGTTTTACAGTATAATTTGATAAGTGAAATCTGGCTTTCCATTTTCAGTTAGATGTTTGATATTCCCAGTACATAAAAGAACCTTAAATAGAATCTGTACGTCCCTTTTCTCAAATAATGTCTTGACAAACCCAAAGAAAAACTTAATCGTTTTTATATTATATATCTCCAGAGCAAAGTTGAATCCTTCTCTGGTCTGATCATGCCTTTTGGAATGATAGTCTTCTCCGTAATGGTTCTGGATTTCTACGTGGAATCCATTTGCATCGCTAAGATGGAAGCACCCAGTTGCGCCCGCTATGGCTCCCTGTTCCTGTTCTTCAGCGGGCTGCTCCTGGCCAACTTCTGGACACACCCACTAACCGACCAGCTGCGTGCCATGAGCAAGCCAGCCCAGCAGGACAGCACTGAGCACGTGCTCTCGGGGGGTGTGGTGGTCAGCGCTGTTTTCTTCATCCTGTGTGAGTGAAGACAAAAGCCGTTAAACCCGGGATCATGACAGTACCTAACTGTAACTAGAATTCCACATATCATAGTGCCAAAAGGGGTAGGATCAAGATAACACATCTAAGGCTCTCTCAGGTTCCATCAAAACAGTAACCCCCGTGACTTCCTGAGTTTCTGCATACAGTTCTCCTTTAATCACTGATGAATCTCCTGTACGTCCCAGCAGAGCTTGGAGCACCTCAAAGGATATATAGCTGGAAGAGTTGGAGGGTCAAATCCTTTGTACATCCTCATTCTCCTCTTGTGGGTAGAGGAGGAGTTGCTGTGGGCCAAGATGTAAAGACATAATTCTAAGTTCACTGGTTTTGACTGGTTACCATAATAACAACAGTTTTGAAGTTTTCTTTTTTTTTTCCTCCCAAAGCTGCCAACATTTTGTCTTCACCCTCAAAGAAGGGGCAGAAAGGCACTCTGGTTGGCTACTCTCCTGAAGGTACTCCGCTTTATAACTTCATGGGCGACACATTGCAGCACACTTCTCATTCCTTGCCGAGGTTTATCAAGGACTCTCTGAAACAGATCCTGGAGGAGTATGATTCTAGACAGATATTTTACTTTCTGTGTCTCAACTTGGTGAGTATTTCTCTCCTGTTATAATTTTAACAAGGCACTATCATAACAATGGTTAATGTTTTATACAGAGTAAATTTATACAGGGAGTGTGTCATTGTGAGTGTTCTTTATATGTGCTTTATTTTTTCTTCAGTGTTACTTGAGCTGGTGTATTGGGTATGATATGCTCCCATTTGTGTTCCACTGATGTCTTATAGTTAAAGTAACTGAAACAATTTGATCTGCCACATCCATCCATTTTCCTTCCAATTCTATCTATCCGGGCAAGCAACAGGCACAAGTCAGGGTAGACCCCTGACAGGACACCAGTCTATTGGATCGCAGAGAGACACAAACACACACTCCCAACAAGGGCCAGTTTTCCCAGAAGCTGGTTAACCTACTAGTATGTTTTTGAACCGTGGGAGGAAACTGGAGCACCAAGAGAAAATGTGCGCAAACACAAGGAGAAGTTACCCATCTGCCGCATACTGTATCTTCAAAATACTATACAACAAACCTTAATAGGAGTGTAATTTTAAACATTTCTATTATGTCAGGGGAAACCAGTGATCATTCTAACAATCAGTAACCAAGACCTTGTTTTTTTTCTGCACTTCAAGGCTTTCACATTTGTCGAGCTGTTTTATGGTGTTTGGACGAACAGTTTGGGTCTGATCTCGGATGGATTCCACATGCTGTTCGACTGCTCTGCTTTAGTTCTGGGCCTTTTTGCTGCTCTAATGACAAGATGGAAAGCAACACGTATTTTCTCATATGGGTGAGTTCTTTAAAAGCACGCAGTTGTGTTCTACCAGACCTGGAAACTTTCCATTAGCTGTGCTGTCAATTATGTATTTTTTTTCTCTGTTCTCTGCTAGGTATGGTCGGGTTGAAATTCTCTCTGGATTTATCAATGGGCTTTTCCTTATGGTTATAGCATTCTTCGTCTTCATGGAATCAATCACAAGAGTTATAGACCCTCCGGATATAAATACAGATATGCTAACAGTAAGCATTCAGAAATCATTTGTTTGTTCTTTAAATTTCATCATACTCTAACTGAAAAAAACCATTAGAAGATACCAATTGAAGGAGTTATGCTGAAAAAGTAGTTTTTGTTTTATACTAAGAATCTTTTTAATGAAGCTAAAAAAAAGTCGGTCAGTTCAAATAAATATGTGTATTTCATCTTATAACGCTGTGAAGAACTTGCAAACATTTTTGTGTTCGTGCAGCATCGGGAATATATCCAGATGACTTAATACATTTTTTACACTAAATTATTTTCTAGATGTTGGTCTTTTAAAAATTGTATATACAAAAGATATATTTGTTTAATACTATTGCTTAAGCAGAAGGGATAGGTTATATCAGTTTATGAAACTGTTACATAAACTCACTTTGTTGTCTTGAAACATCTTTGGAATCAAAAAAATTTCCATCCACAGCCTGTCTCCGTGGGAGGACTCATTGTGAATCTCATTGGCATCTGTGCCTTTAGTCACGCCCATTCCCACGGCGCGTCTAAGGGCAGCTGCTCCTCACACGATCACGGACACTCTCACCATGGGCACGGACACGGCCACGGGGATCACAGCCATGGGGGGCATGGGCACAGCCACGGGCACGCACACAGCCATGGGCACGGGCACTCACACGGCCCATCTGGAGGAGGCATGAACGCCAACATGAGAGGCAGGTTGATAGGACTACAGAGCAATATAAAGCTGCATTTATTTGAGTTTTTTTTTAACAATCACAGAGCCTGGTTAAAAAATGAGGGGAAAAAAATCTTGGCACAAGAAAAGATGAAAAGGGAGATTGAGGAGGAAGAGTTCGAAACTGTGGGTGATATGTGTATTTTGTTTCTGTATATGTCGGCAGATTATTCCACGTATGCAGTCGCTTAAAAAACTATTCACGAGAAACTGTTCTGTGGTTCATTATAATGAGAAACTGAAACAAGTTTAAAACTCCCCTATTCCCCTGTCAGATCATATTTTTCTAACAGGCACTTAAGTCATGCCAAAATCTGAGTGATTTTAGGCCATAGTTTCATTTATACAATATGAAGACAATGGTGTAAGTATAAAGTAGATGCAATCGGTGTAAAATCTGAAGTATGAAAATCGTTTTTCTGACAGAGAAAATTAATCCTCGAATTCTGCAGGTGTGTTTCTACATGTCTTGGCTGATACACTTGGCAGTGTGGGTGTCATTATATCCACCATACTCATTCGGCAGTTTGGATGGCTGATTGCTGACCCCATCTGCTCTCTCTTCATTGCTGTGCTGATATTTCTGAGCGTCATCCCCTTGATAAAGGATGCATGCCAGGTTCTGCTCTTGAGGATTCCTCCAGAACATGAGAAAGACCTCAACAATGCGTTGGAAAAGGTCAGATACTTTGCTGTGATGTCTGTTGTAAATATTTTAACAAAGTCAACAGGGATCATCATAAATGTTATTAATGCTGTGTTACTTTCAAGTTTCAAGTTTAACTTAAATTCAATGTCACTGTCTTCAGATACAGAAAATTGAAGGTGTTCTGTCTTACCGAGACCCACATTTCTGGAGGCATTCTGCAAGTGTCATAGCGGGGACCATTCATTTACAGCTGATGTCAGATGTTGTCGAGCAACGCATTATACAGCAGGTGAGCACACTGCAGATCATGTTTTACTTTGTACTAGTCCTGTTAACTAATGGGTGTTTTAAAAATGTATCTCTTCCAAATCTATAGTTTCCTTTTTTCTACTCATTTATTCCAGTTTTTATATTGTTGGTGGATTCACACAGTTTGTTTAGGTAACACATCTTTCATGCCATGATGATTGTTCACATTTGTTCATTTTTTTATGGTACCATGTAATATTAATTTCTTTTCCCTGAAAAAATAAATAAAAACTGAACATAAATAGTGTGATTTCAGAAAAAAAAGTTTAAAACATCCCTTCCAGAAAATCCTACATGGTTTACCTAAATACTCCAGTAAGATTCATTAGCTGACCTCTGAATTGCCCTTATTGTCTTTAGATTAACTTGGTTAATCAGCTAGTGGGATGTTTTGTAGACTATTTTTTTTTTGTTTGTTTTCTTATAGGTAACAGCAGTGTTGAAAGATGCAGGCGTAAACAATCTCTCTGTCCAGGTGGAAAAGGAAGCATATTTCCAACACATGTCTGGCCTTAGTACTGGATTTCAGGATATTCTTGCTATGACAAAGCAGATAGAGTCAGTAACATACCTAGAAGATGGAACGTGCATCATGTGAACGGCACAGTGTGGGAACAAACAGCAGGACTTCAGCTGCAGAAACTGAAAACGATAAAGTTTGGGAAACTAAACTATAAATGTGTCTTTATCTCTCAACATTTTTGCACATTGATGTATGGTAATATATGCATATGTATTTTTACATAACTAGAAATATTTTTGCTTCCAACTGGAGCAGTAGGATTTATTTAATTGAAAGTCTAAAACTGATTGAGGTTGACAGATGTAAAAAGACTGTGGAAGTCAGTACTTGCATTAAACCTGTTTGTTGATTTCAAATGTATGTGGTGTTTTACTTGTTTCCTAATATTGTTTAAGAAAATCTTGTGGCATAATTTTTCTTCTCATGTGAGTTCAATATTCAGTTTGTAAACTGAATATTAATACCTCTGTGGAATTTCTTTAATTCAGATACTGATTTAGTGTATTTTAATGATACTTCATCTCTTCATAAGCAGTAAGCAAATTAAAAGGATTATTTTTCCCACTTATTGGCAATTAAGGAAACTTAAGAATGTTTACAGAAGAATTCTTAAGATGTGCTCATGCAAATCTAATCCACTCTTCACTTTGTCCTTCATAAAGTTGATTTATAACAAGGATAAACATATTTGAACAGCAATGTTTTATGTCTTGTTATGTAAAGCAGTAAGGCACAAGATTATCTTGTACACTTTTGGAGATTCGGTATTTAACACTGTGTCATTCAGTGAAATTAATATTTAAATAGACTTCAAATGCATTACCATTAAAGGGAATATTTAAGAAAGACAGACCTTTACATGCTGTCACTACATGGCATATTGAAATGGGATCTCTCAGGACTCGGGCAAAAATCTTCTCTAGCACATGCACTGTGTGCTAATTGTGTCATGGAGTAACAGTTGGAAAATTATGGAGAAAACATGTAGGAGAGAGTAGTGGGTATCTGGAACTGAATGTATCCAGCAGAGAAGAAATGTTGGTGGTTTTGGCTGCTGCTCTTTTTACTGGTTTATTTTTATATATGTTTTTTTTTATTTTGCATTCTCTTAATCTTTATTTCTAATTTTAGCTGTATTATTATCTCTCTGTAATTGGACGTTCACTGCTTTCCCGACTACTAATGCTGTCTGCCTACCTGCTGTACTGCAGGATTTCACCATAATGCTTGGGATTTTGAAACCTGTGAGATATACTCATCACAGCTCTGTATGCCATTTTCTGACAGCCTCTTCTAGCAGTGTTTCAATATCTGTTTCTCAGTGCCAGGCATCCTACTCTGGTGCTGTCTTTAATAATTTTTGTAGGTAGCTGCATCAGCATGCGTAGGCTGCAAAGTTAAAGTTTTGTTCCATGCTGAAAAGAGAAAAAAGGAAGCATAAAGTTTCGGCCTTTAATAATTTACACTGCCTTACGTGTCTGGAAGACACTTCACTTCTCGCCAAATCATCTACAATATATTCAACTCCCGGTTCTGCAAACAACAAGTTTGTTTAACTAAATGACTAAATGACAACTAAATGACTTTATCACTGACAGAAAAATTTGATTTTTCTGTGCTTGATTGAAACCTGGCACAGACAAAATGATGGTGTCTTGTTTAACCAGATTATTTCTCCAGGGTATGATTTTTCAGAGCAATCTCACCTATCTTGTTGTGGTGAGAGCCTGGTTGCTTTTTATAATTTACTTTTTAAATGTCTACAATCACATTAAATCATTGTTTAGAGTTTACAAACACCCCAAGCATAATGATGCTTTTTAAGTGAGTTTGCCAATTTGCAATCTTACGATCTACTTTGTTTCATGTTTAATAAGATCCCTATTATGGTTGATTTTAATATCTAAATTGATTCACAGCATTCCAGTTTAACTAAGGATTTTCTAGCTTGATTGGAATACTTTGGAATCACACCAAAGTTCTCAATCCAAAAATGTCACACCTTGGACTTAGTCATTATAAAAAATAGTCTTTCTGATCACTTGGCTCTTCTCTTTGATCTAGAACTCCGTGTCTCACACTCTTCGACATTTTGTTTTGTAAACTTTCACACTTGGTGATCAGTTTACTAGAGCAGGTTTGTTGGTTGCATTACTTCATTGTCTTGCTTTCCTACTTACCTCTGATACTCTAGATGACAACGTGCAAATGTTTAATAGCTTTCTTTTAACTTCTCCTGACATCTTAAAGTAGCTCCTCTTAAAACTCGATCTCTCTCCTATACTCAATGTGCACCATGGTATATCATATACTGACTGGTTGCATTCAGTGAAAACAGTCTCCCACAAACTGTAATGTAGGTGTCGTGAGTGTTCATCTACAGTAATGGACGGAGTACTTGTTTGAATACAGGGCTGCAATGGAGTCTGCTAGATCCAGCTACTTCTACCATATCATTGAGAATAACCTAAACACTCCTAGATATCTGTTCTACACACCATGAAATGATTGCTAAAGCCTAACTGCCCCTACTACATTGCCTTCCTCATCCCAATTTTGCAACACTTTTAAATAACCAAGATTGACAGAATCAAGCATCACATTATCTCCACCATTTTTACCAATATTACACCTCCTCCCTGCACGCCTGTTTTTACTGGTTCTTCTCTTTCTTGTTCCTCTCAGCCTTATACTGCATGCCTTATATATTTATGTTATGTATGAAACTACCACTAGACTAATGGATCCCATTCCTTCTGTTTTGTTTCAGTCCTGTTTTTCAGCTCTTTGCTATCGTACTCATAGTAAATGAGTACATGACCACTGGAGAGTTACCAGTAGCCTTTTAAATGGCTTCAGTTACATCTGTACCTAAAAAACCAAACATGGCTCTGGACATCCTAAACAATTTTTGTCCTATAGCTAACTTGCCCTTGTTAAAATGACTAATAATATTCTTAGGGATTTTTAGGGCAGAGTGGTGGCTCTGTGGCTAAGGATCTGTGCCTGTGACTGGAAGGTTGCTGGTTCAAATCCCACAGCTGGCAGAGGAATCCTACTCTGTTGGGCCCCTGAGCAAGGCCCTTAACCCCAACTGCTCTGGGGGTGCAGTATAAATGGCCTACCCTGACCCCAAGCTTCTCTCCCAGGCTGTGTCTCAGGGAGAGAAAGCTGGAGTATGTAAAGAGATGAGTTCCTAATGCAAGAAATTGTATAGGGCTAATAAAGCAACATTATTCTGGTTATCTATCTATCCTTATTCTCCTGTAAGTGCTGCTTATGACACTTAAACCCGTGAATTCTTTACTTTCTCGTGTTGAGACAGTGTTTGGAGTTTCTGACTTTGCTTTTAAATATCTGGCTTGATACTGCACTACCCAATCCATCCATTCAGCATCCAGAATCCTGACCAGGTCACATGCAAGCAATCACACTGGCTTCCTATCAGGTTTCAGGTTGACTTCAAAATCCTCATGCTCACCTAAAAGGCTGTACATGGTCTGGCTTCTCAGTATCTATCTGACTTATTATCTGTTTACTCCCCTCATCACAGCCTTAATTCATCTGACTCTGGTCTTCTATATATCTTACAAGCTTGTTTACCTTCTGTGGCTGACAGAGCCTTCTCTGCTAGACCCCAAAGCCCTGCAATTCTGCAATTACCAGCAGCCATATCACCCTGCAACTCACAACTCACAACTGGCAGCCCACTGAAGCTAAACAGGTGTGAGCCTGGTTAGTACCTGGATGGGAGACCTCCTGAGAAAAACTAAGATTGCTGCTGGAAGAGGTGTTAGTGGGGCCAGCAGGGGGCGCTCACCCTGCAGTCTGTGTGGGTCCTAATGCCCCAGTATAGTGATGGGGATACTATACTGTAAACAGGCACCATCCTTCGGATGAGACGTAAAACGGATGACCTGACTCCCTGTGGTCATTATAAAATCCCTGGGTGTTTCTTGTAAAGAGTAGGGGTGTAACCCCGGCGTCCTGGCCAAATTTCCCATTGGCCCTTACCAATCATGGCCTCCTAATAGTCCCCATCTATGAATTGGTTTCATTACTCTGCTCTCCTCCCCACTGATAGCTGATGTGTGGTGAGTGTTCTGGCACACTATGGCTGCTCTCACATCATCCAGGTGGATGCTGCCTGTTGGTGGTGGTGGAGGGGAGTCCTCATTACCTGTAAAGCGCTTTGAGTGGAGTGTCCAGAAAAGCGCTATATAAATGTAAGATATTATTATTATTATTATTATTCTATCCCCAGGAATATCAAAGAGTCACCTAACCTGGGTGCATTTAAATCTAGACTAAAAACCTTTTAGAAAAACTTCAATTTAATTTCAATTTCAACTTTCAATTCTGTGTCTGCTCCATTCCAGAGAATATATCTAATGCTGCACATCTTTCCACTTGTGTTTCTTATATGTTCATTCTCTAATTTGTGATTCTTATAACTTTTTTTACACTTATTGTAAAGTGCTTTGATTGGCTATATTTAAGGGTGCTATCTAAAATTATGAGAATGTGTGCGCTTAACTGCTGATTGCTATTTCAGTAGCCATTCCTCAGAAGCACCAAGAAAAAAAGGATCTGTATGCCTACTATGAAGCTTTCTAATTCACCGGTTACAAAGGCAGCTTTAAGATGTTCCACCATTAATACATTCTAAAAACGTAATTATTTAAACTAAACTAAGTAGGAATATTAACGGTGTAATTCTACCTTAGTTTAAATTATTTTTAAAATCAGAAAAAATCACTATATTAAAAGATCAGTTACATTCTAATATACTGTACTACGTTTATATTGTACCTTCGTACTATTGAGAAAGAAAAAACGCAAACATTGCCTCGCAGAGATAGCTAATTGGTGTAAATTACATATTTGAAGTCGTACTCGGTATATTAGGGCAATAACTTTAAGAGCAAATCTGAAAACGGATGTTGCATGCATTAGTACTTGTAAGCCTTGTTTACGTTACGGGTACAAAAAAAAAGTTGCAACGCCGGCAGTTCGGAAGTTAAAGAACTGAAAACGGAGCAATACTACTACTACTACTACTACTACTACTACTACTACTACTACTACTACCACCACTAATAATACAAGTCTACCTTAAACAAATCTCAAATAATAGTTTAACTAATTTTAATGATCGAACCCAAAACATGAAATACTCGTATACAAACAATTGAGCTTTAGTATCAAATGATAACACTAATTGTGTAGTGAATTAGATTTCCCCGTGTCACCCAAATACATTTGGCTAAGTACTTTTCAATGCAAGATCCACTAGTGAAAAAAATCTGTATGCGTAAATCAGGATTTTTTTAAAATAAAGTAGTTAATGTGTATACAATGTAACTCAGTTAAAGTCTGTAGATGCACTGATGCCCAGAAAAAAAACAGAACGCTGTTCAGAACGCGAGAAAATAATAGTCACATGACTGTACGTCGCCTTAGAAACGCATTCCAAGTTGCTGAGGCTCATCCAATCAAAGTGTACCGAAGCTGGAACGCAGCAAATGAGATTATGGCCTGCGACAATTTAAACTCAGGGGTGGGTGAGAGCTGTATGCTTTGGGAGAGTATCCGGAGTTGCTACTTTTAAATTTGTTTGTGGCTGGTGCTTGCTTCGTGTAGCGATCGCTATGGCTCTTCGTGCGACAAGAGTAAGTTTGTTTTCTTTTCCCAATATTTTTTCCTTTCTTATCATGGTTGCGGCTTCTAATACTCTGTCTTTACGTGGTCCTTGATGTATTGCGGATTATTTCCTTTTTGTTGAATAGACTGTAATGTTGTGCTTTTGGGAGGGGAAACTAAAGGTTCGTTTTTTTTTTTCCCCCGATTGCAGTAACCCCCCCACTTCCCCACGAGGTTAGGGTTCGTTCAACACCAGGGGTTTTAAAATCGTTGCAGTTTTTTCCCTTTCGTGCAAAATCTTGCTTGGCACTCTTATGGCTAGTGAGCAAACTTGGGAGACCGGCGTTCCATTTCTATTGTCACTTCCTCCAGAGTTCTCGGCTGAATACAGAGAACCGGACCGCGATAATGGACAAGGGGGTAGCGACCAAACCTGCTCTGAGGCCGAGAGCTGCTCTGGGAGAGATCAGTAACAAAACTGCCGTAACACGAGCAGTTCAGAAAAAGGTAAGTTTTTCTCCCCTCATTCGCCGTGTGGGCCTGTAGTCTAAATCAAGCAAACATGTCTAATGAATGTGGGTATGGCGGCTGTAGGACACGAAGCCAGCGACTAAAGTGGTTCCGAAGAAATTGACAAAGCCGGAAAAAGCCCCTGAACCGGAGGTTCCCAAGAGAGCTGTAATCAAGCCAACGATGCCAGTAAGTGCTCCTTTTCCATTTTTCTAGCCTTTTTTTACTTGCATATCTTGGTCGAATGTCCTAGACACCTAATGGATAAAGTCTATACACTGTTGCTAACTTCTCTAAAGCCTGTTGACTCAATGTTTCCAAAACTGCTTAAGAAATCTTTAACTGCATAACGCATCCCGTTTCTTTGTATTGGAGAACTTGGCTAAAACAGCTGTTTAAATTCTAAGCACCCTGATAAGTTTTTAAAACATGTCCTGGACCCAACACAAGCAGGTGCCAGATTTTTAAAACCAGGTGAAATTGTCAGGTCAAATCTAACATTTGAGGGGGACTGAATAACCCAGTTCTTGTGCTGCTGTAATACTAGCACTATAGCCCTGTACCTGGGTATAAGCATTTATACCCCACCCCTTGCTTAATATGTTGTATGGAGCATAGGGCTTTTCTGCTGGGTGTGAATGATCTCTTCATCTTGCTAGAGAAGATTTATAAATCCTATTCAGAAGTGCATGCAAGTCCCATCATGGTAATGTGAATAATCCATTGCAGTTCAGCTCCAATATGCAGTAGCTTTAATGTAGGTATTTAGTGCATGGAAATATCCTCTATAGTGCCCCAGGTTTTTTTTTTTTTGTATGAAATCAAGATTCCTAATGGAATCTGCATGTTAACTTAACTGTTCTCTTCAGGTTCAAATAGAACCTACATCTCCAGCACCAATGGAGACATCTGGCTGTGCACCTGATGACTTGTGCCAGGCTTTCTCAGATGTGTTGCTGAACATCAAGGATGTTGATGCAGATGACTTCGATAATCCAATGCTCTGCAGTGAATATGTGAAGGATATTTATCGTTATCTTTGTCAACTTGAGGTGGGTACTTCTCTTTACCTTATTCTGGGTAGATATAAAGTTTAGATGGAATTTACCATCAAAAGCAACTGTATAAAGATGTCTCCATAGCCTTATTTCTGTAGGCCATTGCTTTACCTATTGTGCTTATTAATAAGCATATACTGGCCTTAATGTATGAATGAAGGCTGGTAAGGAAGTGATTTTAGTTTTTCCTCTTGTTCTGTATTGCACTATGATAGGATAACAATGTTAAATTAGACTTAAATTCCTTTTTTTTGTAGCCTGATCAGATGTGATTTAATAAACTGTCAAATGGCTTCTGTAACTTGACTGCATTTTTCTTGCTAGGTGGAACAAGCCATCAAACCAAAGTACCTTCTGGGACAAGAAGTTACAGGAAACATGCGTGCCATCCTAATTGACTGGCTGGTCCAGGTCCAGGTTAAATTCAAGTTGCTGCAGGAGACTATGTACATGACTGTGGGAATAATTGATCGCTTTCTTCAGGTATGTGGCCTTCTGGTTTTTACCCTTTTAAGATCTGGAAAATGGCTTTTTGCATTTTACCTTTTCTTTTTTTTTTTATTCAAGGCTAATCCAGTTCCCAAAAAACAGCTGCAGCTTGTGGGTGTGACAGCGATGTTTCTTGCCTCAAAGTATGAAGAGATGTATCCTCCAGAGATCTCTGACTTTGCCTTTGTTACGGATTCCACCTACACCACAGCTCAGATCCGTAATATGGAGATGAAGATTCTGAAAGTGCTTAAGTTTACTTTTGGTCGTCCAATTCCCCTCCACTTTCTCAGAAGAGCCTCTAAAATTGGGGAGGTAATTTCTTTTAATTTTTGTTCTTGGTTGTCTTGAGGGTTACTGGTACATTGCTGACTTGTTCTTTTTATTTAGGTGACTGCAGAACAGCACACCCTGGCAAAGTACTTCATGGAACTCACCATGATGGATTATGACATGGTTCACTTCCCACCATCACAAATTGCTGCTGCAGCTTTTGCCTTAACTCTAAGAGTCCTTGGGTGTGGGGAATGGGTGAGTATGTGTGCTTTTTAATTTGGTTTACCACTGGTTTCACAAATGGAATGTGCCACTAATGTGCAATTCTCTATTCCAGACCCCAACTCTGCAGCACTACTTGAACTACACTGAAAGCTCACTCATCCCAGTGATGCAACACATAGCAAAGAATGTTGTCCGGGTTAATCAGGGGCTCACAAAGCACCTGGTAAGTAATTTAGTCTTGACTGCAGGAGTAATGGAAGGCCAGTTTCCCCCTTCCTAACAAAGTAGGGCTGGCCAAGACTAATCCTACTGTAGCTCCTCAGGAAAACTTATTTCAAGTAAAAAGATCAATTTATTGGCCATATTTTCCATATACCCCGGCTTGCTTTCCATGAGAAGCTTGGGTTTGGAGTGCAGGGTCTGCCATTTATATGGCACCCCCTGCAGCAGTTGGTTAAGGGTCTTGCTTAGGGGCCCAATGTAGGATTCCTCTCCCAGCTGCAGGATACATACTGCCAACTTTCCAGCCATAGGCGGAGGTCTTTAGCCACAGAGCCACTGCACTGCCCTGTCAAGGAATTTATACCGTGAAGTGCTAGAAGTAAACATTGGCAATGAGGTCTAGTACTTGCAATGGCATCTTTAGAACATAATGCCACCATTTTTGAATGGTGGGGGACAGATAAGTGTACCTTGTGGGTAGGAGGCTACATTCTTAAATTCCTTATTTCAGAACAAGGAGGTGGGGTGGGGGAAGTGATCAATGGCAACCAATGATGTACACTGCTTTTTATTTCTGCAGGCGGTAAGGAACAAATATACCAGTCAGAAGCAGATGAGGATCAGTACTCTTCCTCAGCTGAAATCTGCAGTCATCACTGACTTGGCCAAACCACTGATGTCATAAGTGTATGAGATGTGTTCTAGTTATTGAGCACTATGTGCTGCTGTAAATTTGTTTTTATGCATGCTTTTAATCTTTAAATAAATGCTTTGGTTTTAAAGACTTCTATTGTGGTGTCTACATATAGAAGTGCAAATAATTATTAATGGTAATGGCTGGTACCAAAGTTGTGCTTCATTCCACTTCTGACTGAAATTAAGTTGAATTGAAACGGCCCTTAAGCTTTGACCATTAAGTACTTTGAGGAATGGTGTTGTAGCAGCAAGACTTCAGAGCTCTGTACAACTGCATTTCTATAGGAACAGAAGAAACTGCTCTGAGTTCAGAAAGTTTAACTTCTCACTAGTGTGGCTGCTCCACTTTTATGGAAAGTAATTACTCAGTGGTGGTGCTGTAATTTGTTTCTAGAAATTGGGTAGCTGGCATCCATCACAAGTGTAACAAATTTGGCTTTTACTCCAATTAATTTATTGTGAATTAAACTCTTCTTAGACCAATTCCCTGTAAACAGTTCTAGTTCTAAAGCACAATCTTGTTAAAGCCCACTTAAGTGTTGCACCAAACACTAGTATGGGTCCTGGGTGCATTCTGATGTAGTCAAGTGAAATTTCTAAACTTGTGCAGTATTGATGGTAATGCAAGATGTGGGTCAGTGAAAGCTCTGGTAATTTGTTTTTAACCACACTGCAGCCACAGAGGCTGGTGAAGGTCTAGGGCACTACCAGCTGTATTGTGACTGCCAGAGAGAAAGCTGGATGAGGAGTTCACAATGCCCTTTGTTTTTCTTCTAAAGGGTGATGGACAAAAGCCAGGGTGCATGTCTTGCTTTAAGAAAAGCACTTGAACTTGTCCAACCACAGCCTATGTTACAGTGACACCATTAGCTTCATCTCATGTCTGTTTTGAAAGCCTGCCTGTCATCTATTGAATCAAGGGGTTATGTTTAAATAGGCAGGCTTGCAAATAAACTTATGATTTATGGAGCTGTGGTGTTAAGCATCATGGTCATTACTAAATTAAAGCATATATGGGTGAAAGCCATCATACACATGTAGTACTATACTGAGCAGCCAAGAGTTAAGGTCAGGCTTGACTGAAAAGGGGCCTTCCACTATTAGTTATCCAAAAGAGGGGTCAAAATTGGCTGATTGCACATATAGTTCCCAACTGTCTCTGGGTTTCTGATTCATTATATGTTCATGGTTCACAAGTGGGGCTGAGAGATCTAAAACAATTCTCCCTGGAAGACTGGCCAAAACCCTCCTGGGAAGGAGCCTTGTAGCATAGCTTGTACTGTTGATGAATAGTACCAGGCCCCACTGGACCTAAATGTGAAATGCTATTAAAGTTTACTTCAAGATGCTGTCAAATCTTTATTTTTTTTCTCTTTCTGTGTTGTTAATACATCTTATTCTAGTGCCCTGGAGTTTTGATTAAAACCATTCACTTTAAAAATGTATACATTTAATATCAAAAGCATAAACTCAAGAAGTAACCCACACTAACAGAGCTGCCAGGAAATTAAAACCTTTTGCCAGGAATGTGATTGTGACACTTCAGTCCTCCACAACCATGCAGTTGAACTCTGATGAGCAACTTTTTCCACAGCTAAGCCAACCTACAACTGGACAATAACACCAAGCCAAAGCTACACTGGAGTGGCTTAACACGAGGGAATGTGTCTGTTTCAACTCCTCTCTTATATGATGCCACAAACACAAGACAAAGGGCAGTGTTTCAAAAACTATGTTGATCATTTGTGTTCAGTCCCATCATAATAAATAGAATATAAATTGACACCCAGATAGGACAGAACACATATAAGAGTCCTATCCTGTTATGCATTTGCTGTAATTTTACTACCCTCCCCAGAATATTTTTTTTACTCAGAACTCACATACTGCAGGCTGGCTTTTCTGTGCATTGGTAGTTGCAATAACACCTACCTTCATTACTATAACATTAGCCATCGCCCTATTTTGTTACAGTAAGTTGATTATAATATATGTTCTGGAAAAGGATGCTAAAAATCCTTACATAACTGCATTATTGTAACTGTTAGTACATCAAACGTTCTCATATGCTCTACAATTCTACTTAATATAGTCCTTAACAATTTTTGGACTAGCCTTATCCTGTATTTTAGTGTCCTCTAGAGGGCAACATGTGTTACTCTGGGTTTGTTGTAATGGAGAACATTCTTAGGAAGAACTGTAGACTATTTCTAACAACCAAATTAATTGCAAATAATATTTACCTGGAGTACCAATTTAGCATGGAGCTGCATACTACCCACTGGATTATTTGCATCTTTTAGTTAATTCCAATAGACCGTCTACTGGTGTAATTTGTTGAGTGGAGTAAATTGCAGTTTTGCTGTAAACAGCCTGTGATGAAACATTTTGGAATTTGCAATTCCATCTTATACTTTCATGATTACAAAAGAAGAAAACTAATCCTTATCACAACCAAAATGTTGGCATCAATTGTTTAATGTCTTTTTTTACACTAGAATTTGAAAAATATAATAATTTACAATGCAAACTAATCATTCTACAAACATCCCTGACAAGCCATAAACAGAAGATCATGTAGCTCAGCACTTCTGCAACTTGTTTTTTAGAGCAAAAATCCCAAATGTTTCTAACCCTATTTGTATGTCCAGAAATCAAAGTAATTAAAATATTAAAAAGTGAACCTGCAATGGCAGATAAGGAAACTGTAGGTGGCTCTTTGGCTTAGAGATTGACAAGTGTTTTCAAAGTACACTTATTTGCACCAAAATGTGTCAGTTTTGGTTATGGCAAACGTATTCAGAAGATTGAATCAAAATGAATCACTGAACATGTACTGTATCTTCTGCCTTTTTAAAGAAAATATTTTTATTTTGTTGCAACTTGGAAACCAACGGCCTGGGCAGAAGAGTTATTTCTTATTTTAATTTAGCACCTGCATTGTCAGCTACATGTTTACATCAAGTTCTTTCCTTTCCATTCATCCACTGACTGTAAGCATATTATCCTGGTGAGGGTCACATGTAGCTGCAACCTTTCTTAAAAGCAGTGGGTACAAGATGGGAAAGAGCTCAAGGCTACTCCTATCCTGAATGGGATGCGAGAAACTAGAGCTCATGACAAAACCCTTGTGAACATTCAATTTAAATCTTAAAAGAGGCCATCAGAACTCAACACAGACTTCCAAGACAAAATCAAGCTGAGAGGCAGTAGTGCTACAACACGAGTGAATATTTCCTTCAGTGTATAGAACAAAAACAACTGAAAATTCAATTTTTAAGAAACAATGTTTCATAAATGTCAATAAAGCAGCTACATTTTTGCAGCAGTTTTACTGATGTAGACACAGAATTAGCAGATCAGGTTATAAAACCAAAAGTATACATTTAGACCGGGGGTTGTGGTTTATTGATCATTACCTCTTCTGGTGTTTTTGTCTATCTGTAACTGCCAGAAGACATGTTGCAACTAATTTTCCTAGTGAAGGACAAGTAGAAAAAACCTATCAGCTTCTTCTTTTTCCAATTAAGAGATCAACAAATTTTCTTGAAAGTATTAGTAATATTAAAAATGAATTGAACTTTGTACATTAAAGAGATAATTAGTGGGAAACAGTGGAAAAAATAGTTAACAAATGTTTAAAACATCCTTGGACATACACAGATGAAGTTTTCACTGATGAAGTTTTAATGTTTTTTATTTGGGCTTAGAAAAAAGGTCTGCTCTAACCTGCAACAAAGTAAGTCTCAAATTTTGTAAATATGTAACCAAATGAATAAGGAATAATTAGGTGTAATTCACAATAAAAAATTCCTTACACTTATATAGCACTTTTATGGACGCTTCACTCAAAGCACTTTACAGGTAATGGGAACTCTCCCCATTGTAGCATTCATCTGGATGATGCAACAGTAGCCATAGTGTGCCTGAATGCTCACCACACATCAGCTATCAGTGGGGAGGAGAACAGAGTGATGAAGCCAATTCATTGATAGGGATTACTAGGAGGCCTAAACGATATTAATTTTGGAGCATAAACATACAGTATATAGCTGGTCTTGGTACTTTAAAGAAAAAAATACACACCAGTATTCCATTTCTCCCTACATTGAACCCCCCAAACTGAATTCTCAAATTAGGAGGTTAATACCGTATAGGGGAGATTGGGTATGTTTCAGCAGCTTGTGAAACAAACTTTTCCGTAGTAATATTTTTGTTATAACTGTTAACTATTTCAGTTATTTCAAGGCAAACAAAGAAGTGCTTGGGCCTCATGACACCTGGCCATCTGTACTTGTAAAAAGCCACAGCCATTTCCTGAACAAGCCCTGGGCAGTTAGCTCTACCCACACCCAAAACATCACAGGTACATTTTCACCTCCTGGGGAATGAGTCATGAGCCCTTGTTAAGAGGGCTTAAAAAAGCCCCAGTCAGCAGAGAACTCAAGACTTTTTGTAGAAGGAATAGCAGCTGTTGGACCCAGGAGAGTAGTCAACTCAGAGACCAGGGATTGAGTGCAGCAGAGGAAAGAGCCTGAATTGCTCCCACCCTCTTTTACCCAAAACTGAACTCAGAGACAAACAGTGTAGAGGGAGGCACATTTTTCAGGACTCTGGGACCAAGGAGAAAACCTGGAACATCAATGTTTCTTCACTGTGGCATAAGAATGCACAACAGGATACCAATTGGAGCTGGTTCCTGAGAGAAATGCTGCTGCACTTTTTCCTCCTTGACATTTGGGTTTGTTAACTGGGGTCCAGTGGGGTCCTCATGCTGGTCTGTGTGTGTCCTTTGGAGTTAATTATTGTATAACAATGCTCTAGAGGTTGAACAGACAGTGGTAAGAGTAATAATTAGAAAACAAAAAAGGCACTTGTTGCTGGTCTGTGTGTGCACTGGTGATTCTGGGAGATCAATAGAACATGGGTCCTAGCACCCTTCATAATTGTTGGGTGGTATAGTTGGGTACAAAGCAAAAGTAGTTCCTTCACAATCTGTGACAATAACAGACAAGAAATAAATAATCTCCTTCTCCTGCTGCTGCCATTAATCCAATTTTGTCTTTCTAATTTTCTTATTTATTTTGAT